ATCAATACATTCTCAATATCCATTCTACAACACTATCTTCAAATATAAATATAATCTAACTGGTGCCATCGTTTAAAGCAAGATGAACGTAGAAACTTTTAGGTTTATTACCAGAAATTATCAACAATGAATACAAGAATTAAATGCCGTGATAATCATGCGAAGCTTAGAACAGTAGCAGTATCACACCGGTTAGATATCACTTTAAAACACCAAGAGTAACCATCTAAATCACCAAAGATTTGCCATCAACATCACCAAGATTTACCATCTACATCACCAAGAGTTACCATCAATATTACCAAGATTTGTTATGGTAAGATTTACCATCTCCATTATCAAGAGTTACCATTTACATCACCAAGAGTTGTTACCATCTACATCTTCAAGATTTATTACCTACACCACAGAGATTAACCATCAACATGCCCAAGATTTACCATCAACATTACCAATAGTTACCATCTACATTTATCAAGATTTACCATCAATATCACCAATATTTACCATTTACATCAAGATTTGTCATCTACATTACCCAGATTTACCACCAACATAACCAAGATTTACCACCAACATTACCAAGATTTACCATGAAAATCACCCAGAGTTACAAAGATTTACTATAAACATTCCCCGAGTTCCATCTACAGTACCAAGATTAACCATTTACATCACTAGATTTACCATAAAAGTCACCAAGATGGGACATCTATGTTATCAAGATTTGCTATGCTGTAAACAATATTTTATTTCGTGTACGACATGTGTATATATTATAATACTGATAATATAGTGGATTTATATAGATTCATCTCAATAAAATGTATACCTTTCAATACAATTACTAATTTGTACAAATTTCAATAGTGTGGTTTACAAATTTACATAGACAGTGAAATCATAGTATAAAATTGTACAAAAAAATTGCCGTTACCAAGTACTTAGACCCTCCCCTGCTCTCGCTCAGCAACAGTAACATCGAACTTACAAATGTGCGAAACATTGTCGCCATTTTGACGTCACTCTACTCATATCATGTACGTATATGCAAAATGAAATGAAATGGGGTTTAACGTCCTACTGTTCTGCTCCTACTGGGCTAATGAAGACGGGCATACGCCAGGCAGTGTGCTATGGGGGAAATTTTGCCCAGACAGCGACGCAACGGCCTACTCTTATATCGTGCATGCCAATGTGTACACGGGACCTCGGTTTTTCGATTAGTACACGTATACACATAAATGAGCAGAAAAATTGTCTCGGAGCTTTTGATTTTATAAAATTCTCGGGTAATCATCCAGACCTCGCGCCAAACGTTGCCTCCATTTTGGACCCCCCCCCCCCCTCCCGCTACAAAAATTTCTGATCAACCCCTGTTTTGATGAACCCATGCTTCGTTTAGCTTGACAAAACGAAGGGTGTCGGGCACTAGGCAGGCTATATCGGCTTACTTGACGTAAAACTCCGAATATTTTACTGGATGCAAGTCTTCTCATTATATAATATTGTAAGATTCTGTAAAGTAAACAAACACAAAAGAACAACGTTTATACAATGAGATATTGATTTGATGTATTTATTTCTTTGTACAGTCCTTGTTAAACTTTACTGGTTATAAATTATACAATGGAGTTGTCTTGTTACAGTTTCTATTGTATGTATTAAAGTAATATAATTAATATTCAAGGTGTTAAACCTGTTTGGGTAGGATCGCCTGTCAAACCTCGTGGGTTTTCTCTGGGTACTCTGGTATAAGAGATTCTAATGGTCATAAATATTTTCTTTGATAGGCATTTAGTAATTGAACATACAATTTCCTGGATACACAATTACTAAGTTTAATACTAAGCGACGTTTCGAAGAGGATAGACAAATATATACAGAATATGCAACAAAAATAACAATATATACATATTGCATATTTTGTATATATTTGTCTACTGTTCATATATCTGCATCATTTGCTTGATAAAGACGAGAGTATCCTCGTCGAAACCCTGTGTTAAATATATTTTTGTTTCGAAAGATAAAGCGAGCATCATTAGCCTGACCGGTGCAGTAAAGTCAGATGTGTAACCACAGTTTATATAATACATTGTTATGGGGACATGATCCTTAAACTCAGTTACGATGGTTTCTTTTCTTTTATAGAAGTTTCAATACGACACCATATCGTAAAGATATAATTCTTTAATATTACGATTAATCAATATACAATAATCACGGGCACTTGAAGGCATTAAAATAAAACTCCCTACTACTGCTTGACTATATATTACAGTATATACTTAATTTTAATTCCTTCAAGTGCCTGTGACAGTAATATACCTAATTTAATAAGTTCGTTTAACGATTTATACTGGATCGTAAATATCTCAAATAAATGTATATATACAGTATAGTAATAATCGGTAGTGGCATGTTTAGTAACGATTAACCAATATACATGTATAATATACATAGACTGAATATAATCATTCACATTTAATAATTCGCATATTTATAAACAGTATTACTCCAATAAATTATGATTAATCGATATACAATCCATTACGATTAATCGATATACAATCGCAATATACATAGACTGAACATAATCAATTCGCATTTAATATTTCGCATATTTATAATCGATAATAGTCTATTAATTATGATTAATCGTTATACAATCGCAAAATACATAGACTAAAACTTAATATATTAGTTCACGTTTAATAATTCGCGTATTTATAATCGATATTAGTCTATTTAATTTTGATTAATCGATATACAATCCAATCACAATATACATAGACTGAATATAAAATCAATTCACATTTAATAATTCACATACTGTATTTATAATCGGTAATAGTCTATTTAATTACAATTAACCGATATACAATCGCAATAAACATAGACTTAAACTTACATGTAATAAATTAGTTCACGTTTATGTATTTAGTCGCATTGTGTTGTCTGAAAAACATAGACTGTATCTGTGTTGTATATCATCCATCATTTCATAATATCTATACTGTGTTATGTAATATCTACATAAACACTTATAGTTATACACAATTATAAATATATAAGCTATACTTCTTGGTCAATTAATTGACTTTGCCTACACATACATGTAATGTTAAACATAAGAGAAAAATATTATTTACAAATGAAATTAAATGAAATGTGGTGGGGATTAACGTCCTACTTTCCTACACCAACCGGGCTAATGAAAGAAATTTTGCCCTGTCAGCGACGCTACGGCTTACTTTTGTTTCGATTTCAAATTGTCGGGGAATCATTACATGCATTCAATGGTATATACAAAAGCTGGGGTTTTCTTCCGATCCGAACGACTATTCGCTTTTCTCTTGGTTGATGAGCCAGCACCATGCACAACGAGCCAAAAGAAAAGTTATTAAAGTACGATTGGGATTTATACTCAATAAAATTTACTAAAGGACTAAAGAGGCATTATTCAAGAGCTTAATCTGTCTATTGCAGGTCTTTGTTTGGGTCTTAAATGTTATCTAAATTATTAATTAGACATTTATTAACATAACAAGACCATAATCAAATCGGGCTGATTTAATTTAAAAATGGAGATGCGAGACTAAGACTCGAATAATCAGCACCGTGGTTACGATAATGAACAATCAATGCACACATCTTGTCAAAATTACAAATATTGACAACGTCAGAATTAAGTAATTGAACTATTATAGCAAGAACGACCAGCCCTTCATCTAAAATCTTACATAAAGTGTCTTTAATATCCGATATGCGTAATATGAAATATATGGCGCAATGTCTTTAATAATCAGGGATGAATTCTCATTTTCTAATTTCACTTTAGCTTTTAGTTTGTTTTTGTTTCATATCTTTAAAATTGTTATGTTATATTTGATATCTTATGAATGAATGTTGCTTAAACCAATAATTTCACTTTATTAAATCGGTAATATTAATACATTGAGTTAGAACTTTCGAACGTATACAAAGTATAATTTTTAAATATCTGGGGCTTGTTTCACGAAATTTTAACTAAGATAAAATCCAAATTTTTGTAATTTGATTGGATAATATCAGATTGATTTTAGTGGTTAACCAATCAAACTTGAAGTATCTACTAAAATTTGGATTTTATCTTTAGTTAAAATTTTGAGAAACAGGAGCCAGATTTGTCCAGTTTATCATTTATTCTTCTTCAAAATCAGGAATAATAAACAACACAAGTATACACAAATCATAAATAACATAATTACATATTATACATTACCAGAGTCATACGAGTCATAAAATTTAAGACGGAAGAAAAACAACAAGTATAGTTCACCTTTGGGCTTTCTTTCTTTTTTTTTTTCGGTGGGTGAATGTTGATGCTTCCTTACACATGTTACTAATGTAGTACCCTATACTGACTGTTATACAATCAAACAAGATTTAGTTATTCAATTTTGTATACAATAGACATTAACGTGTAGAAATCATAATCGAAAATAAATGGTCTTTTCATGGTAGATGTTATCAAACAAAAGGCGCGTGTTTATAATAGTAATAACAACATAGATATTGAAATTAATCATTTATTATTTTAGTATTATATTCGATAAAATTTAAAGAAAATCTTTGACAAATAAAAATCTATTGTATAACAAAAATATTTCTAATGGACTTTTAAATATAGTCGAGTGAGGCGTTATATATCGTACTAATTTCTCGTGTCATACTTAAAAATTACAAAGAATTGAAGAGCGGCGGAAGAAATTGTCAGGCAAACTTCCACTTGATTACAGTTACCGTGTCTCGTGGCCGTTCCCACAAGCTTACCACAAGTAATCAATGTTATTGGCACGCGCCTCCTACATTTCCCCTATCGCTCTTACGATTGGTTGGATCGAATATTGAGCACGTGCCGAGTGTTTATTCTAACTAGAAGTAATTCTTTTGCTTTCCGTATAAAATGAGGATCGGAAATCAGCCGACAAATAGTTGATTTCCAGACAGGAACCGATTACGATATAATTCAAGAGGCTATACACAAGTTGTAAACTTCCTTTTTAATGATTTGAATTTAATTTTGTGATTTGTGCTCGCGCTGACTTTACAGTCATGAATGACATAAATTTTACCCACGAACATTTTTTAAACTCTTTCAGTAGTTACGAAAGTTTTTCTAGCCAGCTATCTCTTTTTGAACCGAGATCAGGATTCGGTTCTCCGAATTCCAACCAAGAAAATATCGGAAAGCAGCGGCGGAAGAAAAAACGCGGAGCAGTTCAACAATATCAACAGCGGCATGCGGCGAATATGAGAGAACGCAAGCGAATGCAGTCCATCAACGACGCATTTGAAGGTTTACGCACGCACATCCCAACGTTACCATATGAAAAAAGACTTTCTAAAGTTGATACATTAAGACTTGCAATCGGATATATTGGTTTTCTCGCTGAATTAGTGGAGTCGGATGTGCAAGCTAAAGAAAATGTTACAAGCCAGTTAGGAGAACAGCCGAAAAAAGTCATCATTCATTGTCACAGGGGTAAGTGTACATATAATTATTACGTCTTCATTTTAAACGCAAAAAGACGCAATCGCTAAATTTTTCTTCCTTAATTATGTATAAACTAATTGTAAGCAATTAAATTTAAATATTTCAAAAAATGTAATTTTATAAAAGAGCAGACATTTTTAAACTTTGATATTTCTTATTTCAAACTATACAGAAGAATACAGAAATTGATGTCTATAAAATCTTAATTTAACTTGACCATGTACAATTGTTTAAACAATGCTTATTCTTTAAAGTTAATAATAATTTGTACTGATACAAAATGTACATTTGATCTTTGAGAAGCATGCATAACCAACACAAAAACTAAATTTATTATACCGAGTTTTATTATTTAAAATTTTCTTCATTTATATTTACATTCTCTTATTATGCATAAGAAAAACCCCGAATATTATATTAGAAATATTTAATCTTCAAGAAACAGTTATGTTAACGCTAACATAAAACAGACAAACTCAATTAACTTTTCTTCATTTATAAAGCTATTCTTTAATTTTGTATAAGAAAACCATAGAACATTATATTTGGTAATATATTGCGGTATGTTTTACTATTGTGGGGGTGGAGTTAAGAGAAGAGGGGGGGGGGGTGACAAGACAGATCATCTTGTGATATATAATGTCATACAAGCATAATTCAACTAAACTATGACATAGAAAGAAATACTCAAAAACCAACACCAGCAAGATATTTTTTTATTGTTGTTTGTTTTGGGGTTTTTATTATTATTTTTTTCATATTTCATTATTTTTTTTAAAAAATCTTTTTGATATATAATTTTATGTGAATTATTAGACAATAGTACAAATACTTTGGGTTGTTATAAAACTTTTAACTGAGTCACGCAAATCTGAACTTTTGTTCAAGGGAACATCTATCTATTCCAGTTGTGTTTCTTGTGGGAAAAGTCATAATTTAAAACCCAAAAGTACTTGCTTGCTGTTCTCAAAAGATTTAAAATTCTATGTAAAACCCTTTTCCTGAAACTAGATTGTCTTCAAGATCTCGAAGAACTATCGATTAGATTGGTTTGGCCCACCGTAATTAAATATATATTTCATGGACCCACTTTAACGTCTATCTGTAATTTATTAGATAAAAGGGAATATATAACAGCAGATAGACAAGTATACCCTACTTCGTACACAATACTTGTCACTAATTCTAGCGACTGTCATACATGCGGATATTTTAATTTGCTGACAAGGTTTGGAGGGCTAATGTCTGGACTTTATGAAAATCAAAACCTTACTGAAAAGGGATCATTTGATTATTTAAGTAACATTTTCTCATTTTATTTTATTCCGAACATGTTTGGTTAGAAAACATGAGGGCACCATTGGAATTGTCATATTTCACAGGTTTTTAAGATTTTATACACCAGTAATGCTAGTCACCCAACTTTTCCCGTTATGTTTCCTCATGGCATACTGTATGACGTATGCCCGTCTCGTCTTTATTATCCCGGTTGGTGCAGACAAGTAAACCCCATTTCATTTCATCTCTTTATGTTTCATCATAACACACTGTATGATATGCCCATTTTTATTATCCCGGTTGGTGCAGACAAGTAAACCCCATTTCATTTCATCTCTTTATGTTTCATCATAACACACTGTATGATATGCCCATTTTTATTATCCCGGTTGGTGCAGACAAGTAAACCCCATTTCATTTCATCTCTTTATGTTTCATCATAACACACTGTATGATATGCCCATTTTTATTATCCCGATTGGTGCAGAAAATTAGGACGTTAAACCTCATTTTATTCCATCTCTTTACATTTCACAGATTATAAACTGTTTCAATAGCAATTTATTTATTATCCCGATTGGTGCAAAAAGTAGGACATTAAACCCCATTTAATACAACTCTTTATATTTCATAGATTAAACTGTTTCTATAGCATTAAAATGGAAATATACAGGTCAGAATTCTATGGAATACAGTAGTATGGATATGTGGAATTTAAACTCGTTGAATATTTTATCATTGCTTGGTAAAGACTTAGAGAAGCCTAGCCAAAACGTCGCTCAGTAATAAGCAGTAATTGTATTGTTGTAGAAGAAATATACATTTGATTAATAATAATAATAACACCCTAACTAGTACGATAATTTTTTTACTGCTGTAAACCTACGTAGTGAGTTATTATATAAATCTGTCAGAAGTGTAAAACCGTACCAAACCTTTGTATAACTGTATGTGCCTAACTGAATTATAAACTGATATAAATCAAATTTGGACTTTGTGAATTTTTCCCGTGACGCTAGAAACCAATCAACGAAAGAATTAAAGAAGATAGTCCTAGCCATTAAACAAACGATCTAGCGAGAAGAGAGGCTAGAGATTCTCGACCATCAGTCAAGGAAAGTGACCGGCAAGGTTCAAATACATAATCCATCGTTCGTAAATATATTTTAATTTAAATAATACATGACTTAGAGCAAATAAATAAAACTTCAGAATCTGAATGCATGAACGTAAAATCTGCCTCAGGTATAACTATATAATATGCCCCTCAAACATTTCCATCTATGTAATTTGCATGATATGGAACAAAGAATTGCCGTCAGTAAAATATTAAATTAAAAAATAATTATTAAACGTGCTTTTAATAGAATTTGAATAAACCATCTGCAATTGGTTAAACTTTTGAACTTTTTTCTAATGAATGGACGATCAAAGTTTTCAGAATTTATATATCGCAGCGATATCAATTTCCACGCAGGCTGCGGATATTCTTTCACAATATTTTGTATGTAAAGCAAAGTTTATAATTCCTAACAGCATACGATTGTTCTTGCTCGTTGTTCTCCACAATTTGACTTTGTATTTCAAATAATCGAAATACAGAGAACAAAAGAAGGTATAAATGATTTATTTTCAAAGTCAAGATCTCTTTATTTTATTTCATTCGAGAGAAGTATTTTTTTCTTTTTCTCACCGGCCGAAACAACTAGGTTTTCACGTCTGTCCAGGTTTCAGTTTTCGCGGGATTTCGAAGTTTCATTCATTGATCACGCGCCGAGACCTATACCGAGCCGATTACAAAGGCTTATGTTATAATTATGCCTTATAAAACATGACCGAGTCAATATTTCAATAGTCCCAATCAAACAGTCTCTATTGTTCCCGACGTTTAACTATCACTAAAATAATATCGTCAGCGATGAGAGAAATATCATTAATTTTAAGCAGGACAATAAATCGATGTTTTTTCATATGTATATTTTTTCTCGTTTGATATGTTATACTCGTGTTTTTTTATTCTTCGTTGAAAATAAATTTTGTATTAAAGCTGTGGTAGGGTTTTTTTTTATTATTTTTTTTTTTTTTTAAAAGTTTAAAGTAACTTTCAATCTAGACATTCCACTTTACGTAAATGATAACAGTGCATGCGTAATTGAAAGTTTGAGAATCATGATTATTACAAGGACATGGAATGAAATGAAATGGGGTTTAGCTTCCTACTTTTCTGTACCATCCGCGCTAATTCAGACGGGCATATGCCATCCAGCATGCTATGGTGGAAATTTTACCCATATAAGGGCACAACAGCCTATTCGTGCACCGATTTTAAAATGCTCAGTGTGTCTTTAATATTGGATATTATGATCAAAAATTTCAAGGATATGTAAACAACACCAATATTAATCGAAATGGATCGTGATTTTAATTTCGAATATTATGGAATATATTGAGTTCATTAGCCCAATTGGTGAAGAAAGTAGGACGTTAAACCCCATTTCCTTTCCTTTACTGATGACCAACCACAGCGACACGCCAATGGAACACACATCATGACATGACGAGACCCGGAAAACAACGACACGTCAGCTCCAACACAGGTGACCACCGGAGAATGTCTCGAATACAGCCAAGATCATTCATTATTGTAAAAGGCCGAATTTCTTTTTATAAGACATCTTGGTAAATATTACCTTCGTGATCATTCTAGCTGATTTGAAAACTTGGTTAAAATTTCGATCTACATATTCTATTTTCTTCTAATTTCAGGTTCAGAAAATATGGAACAGTATGGTTTACCTCCCTTAGCTGGTCATTCTTTATCGTGGACGGATGCAAAGAAACCCGCGTACGGACCAAATAAAACTCTTAGTGCTAAAATTTGGATCCCTGAAGACCCGCGTCATTTGAAAACACAAGAAGCAGATTGTTCGGGACTACTGGATTCTTCGGGTGAAATATGATCAAATTGCGAAATTGTTTATATATTAGATTGTCCAGACATCTAGAAGACATTGAATTACGCAATGATGGGTTAAAAGAACAAGACAATTTAAGAAAAAATCAGGAAAGGAAACGGATCTGAACTAGTTTCGTTTTCTGTTTTGGTTTCAGAAAGCTACTTTATATCGCTGTGAACAATATAAGTTATGAAGGAAACAAAAATAATACTATTATTATTAATATTTATGAATAGTATGTAAGTTCTGTGTTTGAAAACAGACTGATAAGATTAACAGGAGACAAACATTCCAGTGATCTCGTTTTTACAAGCCATGACTTCTCGGTACACCTTTGGTTTAATTAATGGGCGACATTATTCACAAAGATCAACACGTAAAAATGAGAGTTTTTTTTAAATGCGATTACCCCGTAAATACTTCTGAAGCATTGACGGCCTAACCTTAGCCATAAAGCATTCCTAGTTCATTGAATCTACCAAACACTCCTTGTGCTTTTTTATCATACAATAACAAAAGGATGCCCTAACCCTAAATTCTATAGTTACGAATAGCCTCTTCTAAATCAAATCCTATTTTTAGTTTCATCATTAACATACACTGTCGACAGTTGAAACTACTTCATGCCATCTAAACCTTAGCTGAATCTATTGACTTAATCCAATCTATTCGCACAATCAAACAGATATATTGTATCTTAAATTTTTATTTACAGGTTATAAAAAATGATTTTGATGTTTTGAAATGTCACCGTTATACAGAACTACGGAAGCGCATAGGGGTCATGCAAAAATTTGTAGAAAATTTTGAGATCCTGCGATCATGTGATACTTTCTCAAAATGCCGTGATCACTTGGTAATTTTCTCGAGATCCCAGTTTCATGCTATCGAGATCCCAGTTTCATGCTATCGAGATCCCAATTTCATGTTCTCGAGACCCCACATAATTTTCTCGCGATTCTTCCATCCTGCGTTAACGACCCTGACAATTTAAGTTACGGGTCCTTCTACAAAATGGTCCGCGACCCCTATACGCTTCCGTACAGAGCCCCCCCCCCCCCGCACCCCGACCCCAAATTTAATATTATTACGAGCTTCCATTACTTTTATAGATATTACGAATATTTATTAAAAGTTTTTTTAAATACATTGTAAAAATTAAAGCGTTGAACTTAACGTTTCCCCGTGTTGATTTAATTCGTCAAATTTTGTTTATTAGTCCGAAACGAAATTCAAATACATATATTTCGTAATCAAAATTATAACAACCGGAAACGACATTCAAATACATACATTCCGGGATCAAAATTATAACCACGACAACCCCGAAACGAAATTCAGATAGATACATTTCGTGATCAAAATTATAACAAATTGTTGTAGTTATTTTAATTTTTATTGTATGAACAACAAGAAGGTTGGTTCATAAGTATTCTGTCTTACTAAACCATTGATATAATTTTGAATGTGCTGAAACTATGCATTATTTAATCACTATACAAGGTGTTCCGATTTTTATTATTGCCACGCAAAAGAATATTTATTTAGGTCCAGATACTGGGAAAACGTTAATTTTTGGAATTTAGTTTTCACAGTGTGTTTAATGAAATACACGGAGTGTATGCAGAGCAATATTACCTGTACAATATATGTGTTATTTATTTGTTATGTGCAATATTTGTATATATTTATATATAGTACACAGTTTATTATCTATTATAAAATATATATTATTATGTTCAGTTTGTCAAAGATATTAATTAAATAAGTTGATAATACAGTTTTTTCAAACACTGGTGACTTTGTTATTACCTTTTACCGGAGCCACGGTGGTTCAGTGGGTATGGGAAGATACCGGGGTTGGATGAGACGATTCCTCGGTGATTTTCCAGTCGTTCGGACGGTATGTGAAAACGACCTATGTGCTCGTAATAAGAACCCTGGAATTCGATGAAGTGTTGGCACTCTGCATAACACATACATGTCTTCTTTAGCCCCATTATTACGTTTTCACGAGACCGATCAAAAACGAAATGGTTCCATTTCCGGTATTCTTCCTAGAAACAAAAGGACACAGATCACAAAATATTCACGAATGTAGGGCGAAAGTTATTTTTAGTCTTTATCTCCTTTTCCCTTTTCCCCCTTTTGCATGGCGAGTTTTTGTTGATTTTTTGGTGTAGAATCGAAGCAAAGGGTTTGAAAATACATTTTCTGCCAGGATTTGGTGAATATTCATGATTTTGAGGCGGAAGGATACAAGAGCTGAGAGGTTGGTTAGGTTGAAATGTAGGGCCGAAAATTGCATGTTTACTTGTCTCTACTTCCAGCTTGTGTATCTCAAGTTTTTCATGGTGAACCTCATACATGCTTTTGGACAAGAGTTTGCCACACGTTGCTCCATCTGTGGCAGAAAGCGTTCTACCCAACGAAAATTTGGGAAAAAGTTAGAGCCGGTCTAATATACGAGAATTAAGAATAAAGTCAATGAGGAATTATTTAGTGATCTGTGACCAAAACGTCGATACCCTGATATGCAAAACAGTTCATTTATCTCGAGGCTCTGAGTGAAAGCGCACGCTGTAAACCGGAAATACAACATAAAAAGGCAATAGCGCTGTGACCATGAAGTAGGTTCCTAAACCTGGTATTGGTATTTGACTATAATCCCTGACAGCGCGAGCGTTTTTTTACATTCCGATAATACACTATTATTAAAATGTCCAAATGATGCATAGCCAATATCCAACAGTTCCAAGGTTAACTGGGAATAAAAGTCGTGAAGACGTGGGGAAAAAGACAGGGTACCTAGGATACCAAGGAAGAGCAATTTTTTCAAAAGAACTGTCCCCAAACTTGACAAATTTATCCACCAAGAAACGTCCAGATCGACTTGGAATTGCACTAAGCACAAGACATATTACCACCTTGATTAAACAAGATAGTTTAACCAATTACAAATCAAAACTAAAATACAATAGTTATAAGACGGAACGGGAATTTTGATCTACTGTCTAAACGGCATTGGAGATTGAACACATTTAATTAAACACAAAGAGTTCTATAAAAAAAAACAATTATTGTATTTTTAATCGGAGTTGGTTTCTACAACGTACTATTGTTCTTAAAAACGAATAGAGAATCATTGTAGAAACGGACACAGATCACTAAAGATTTCCCCATTGACTCCAATGTTAATTCTCGTATCTTAGACCGGCTCTAACTTTTTCCCAAATTTTCGTTGGGTAGAACGCTTTCTACCACAGATGGAGCAACATGTGGCAACCACTTGCCCAAAAGCACGTATGAGGTTCTTCATGAAAAACTTGAGATACACAAGCTGGAAGTAGAGACAAGTAAACATGCAATTTCAGGCCCTACATTTCATCCTAACCAACCTCTCAACTCTTGTATCCTTCCGCATCAAAATTATGAATATTCACCAAAACCTGGCAGAAAATGTATTTTCAAACCCTTTTCCTCGATTCTACACCAAAAAGTCAACAAAAATCGCCATGCAAAAGGGGGGAAAAGGAAAAGGGAGAGGAAGACTAAAAATAGCTTTGGCCCTTGTTTCGTGGGTGACGGCGTAGGAATATTTGGTGATCTGTGTCCAAACGCAGCGCCAATTAAAAATACAGTACATTTTTTTTCAAAGGACTTTTTATAGTTACCACTGTTTCGTAAAAAAATATAATCAATTTCACATATTCCGAAAAAAAGAAAATTCGGGATAAATTAAAATTAAAAAGACATTTAATTTGAAAAATCTTTGGACTTATATGAGACTCATTTTGAGATTTAAAATAGATGTTTAAGGTTTCAAATTCGGAATAGGAATTTAATATGTAAAACGAAATAGATGAAAGTGTTTGATTTCCACGGTTTGTTCTATCCGTGATTTTACAGTTGATAATCGAAGACGATTGACGGAGTCTATATACGCTGAATTGATTTGATCAATGCTATGAAAATATTGATTGTCTACAGACGGGTATGAGAGGAGCTTATCTGGTATTATTATAGGATATATGTGTTATATCCTGGCACCTAATTTCAACAGTCACGGCCAGTCACGACCAGTCAAAAATTTTGAAAATAAATTTCTGAGGGGAAAAAAGGTGGGGGTGATCTTGAATAATGGACTTCGGCTACACTTAGTATAAAAGTTTCGTATGCAATAACTCCTGGCAGTGGACCTTTGTGTAATTCTGGGACAAGGTGCCGTCCACAACTACCATGTCTCACCCCCATAAACCCTATAAGCTAAATTTGAGCATGTCAGTAATGTTACTCAAATCTCATTATGATCATACAGGTAACGTTTAAAAAATAATTATTTATGAACTGTATTTAATTTCTGAGGAAGGACCGAAAAAGGTAACATATTTTAAATATCTATTATACACCATGCCACATGGTTCTGTCCTCCCAAAAGCGTCACCTAAACATGTTTCCTCTATTAGTTTACTACATTCTGGAATAATTAAAAAAGAATGTTGTTAGAACGTTGTGTGATACCCCACCCCTCCCTATTCATAATAGTCCAATTACGCCATTTTAAGGCAATATGAATCCCTTTAAAACTACAATATTGTGAAAGATCAATCTCTGATAGGAATAACAGTCCACACTCCAAAAATAGTACATTTCCTTTCAGTATTTACAAAGATATGTTGAATAGAAACTTCGTCTATCTCTGATGCTCGCTATGTAATAAGATCGCGAACATAATTGATGAATCTGTTTTAAATACATTTGAATGTAAGTCGAGAGAATATTTTGATTTTCTCTGGTAAATAATCAATCTGAGTACATCTTAGAATGAATTAAGCCGTGAGAAGTTTAATATTTGAGCGGAAAATGCAAATGATGCATCGTTACTTTAAGAATTAAGAAGCTTGATATAGATATTTTCGATAAATAGGACAACACTTTTTAAAGGAATAAGTCATAAAGTGTGTTGGTAACTTTCATTATGTTGGTCCTTGATTTCCGATTCCGATAAAACTTTGAAGTCATTGACACATCTTGTACAGGTCTGCCTATCTCACGTGCGTTCTAATAACACGGGCCGTTTCTTCCAGTTAACGAAACAATTCAAACACAAGTTCCACTAGACGAAGACTAATTAATACAAAGTTGAAACCACTAAAGGCGAATCTGACGTTGATCGTTAAATTATTCATGACCAATACTTGAAGAAGCGCCCTGTCGTTCAACATGGCCGTTATGTATAGACCCGTTAACGGCTGTCGTTATTCTCAGCATCGATCAAGACTTAAACACAAACTGAAACATATGACGGTTACCCAACATTTTCTCAACTATATCTTCACCAGCTTAACTAAGACGTTTATCGTCGGGTTTTTATGGATTCTCCCCGTCGACTAGGGTTTTCGGATTCGCCGTATTGAATTATTGGCAGATTCATTTTCCTGTGTAAACAATTTTTATTCCGAGTTTTGATTGAAGAAGATGAATTCAGTTTTTAACACAGAAGAAAATCGTTACATATTTTATCAACTTTAATGAAGATTTTATAAAATTAACAACGCGTTAAACTTATACAAAAATCCGCTGAAAATCCCCATGTGGGACATTTCTGAAATTTCGTAAACAATGCAATGAGGATTTTAAAAACGAAAAACGGGAAGATGTTGCAACAGTTTCGTTTCTATTATTACGTAAATCAACAAACATTATAATTGTTTGTCAAAGCGTTAGAATCATACATAAAAACTGAAAACCATCACATGGACCAT